AAAAAAAAAAAAAAAAAATTGCTCGTACTCATGCTGCCCCGACGTCAGCCAGCGCATATTGGGAATTTCATAGGCACCAATCGGTTTTCTAGCGCCCATTTGCTGGGAGTAAGGGCGCCCTCGTTTGCGAGGTGCGCCTGCTGCTTGCGGCACAGGGAGGAGAGGGCGGGGTGGCTGGGGATTCTCTGGCTGGCTGGAGCAGCATCTAATAACCAACTCGCAAAATAAAACAAAATAGAAACAAACCAATAAACACGAAAACACCAGACATGATACAGAGTTATAATTTGCACCAAAGTTTTTTCGAAATTCTGTATGCGAAAAGTGAGCGCGAGAGCCCTCGGTGCACCTGCTCGCTGCTGAAGTCAAAGTAAACTTTATTGTCATCTCCGCTACATACAGTCCAGTATATAGAGAGACGAGACGACGAGGCTCCAGTTACAACAGTGCAAATAAATGAACAATAACTATAGTAGAGTAAGAAAATAAATATACACTTTAGGACTCGGGGTAAAGGGATCAATAACAATTTAAAATTTTTATTTTACAGATTGATGATTTAATGTCTCACACACAACCTGTCGAAAGGGGAGGGGAGCCTGCTTCTTCCAAATAGAGCACATTTCATTCATAATGTTGTAAATCCAAGCCCATTATGTATTCATGATCTGAATCCTGGGTTGTGCGAAATCCCAGAAATACACCTTAGACAAAGTGAATCTGTGAACTAAGGTGTAGGTCTATTAGGTTATGTTGTGGTGATCCTCGGGTTTGGGGATGGGTGTTCATACTGGAGTGCAAAATTAAAACCAATGGAAGATGGACAAGTAAAAGTTCAAAGCCATCAGGTCCTCAGTTTAGAAAAAAGAGAAAAGAAGAGGAGGAGAAACGAGCAAAAGATACAGGTAAGCAGATGTGTCACTGGATAAAGGCAGGTCGTTTATTCTGAAACAATCAGAATCAGAATCAGAATACTTTATTAATCCCTAAGGAAATTATGTGGGTTACAGTTGCTCCAAGAAGAAATAGTAAAAAAAAAAAAGTAACAGTAACAGACTAAACTCCAAACAATACATTATGTTACAGATTTTACACATTTAAGAAATAGCACTAATATATACAGGTCACTCAATTATAAATATCAAGGATTAACAGAGGGGATTATAAATAAATATCAAGAAAATTGACAAGAATATTCCAGAGTAGAAAAGAGCATGTGTAAAAAGGATGTAACTATTGCAGTGTTCACAGTGTTTTAGATGGAGGAGTTGTACAGGGAGATGGTCACGGGCAGGAATGATTTCCTGTGTCGGTCAGTGGTGCTTTTTGGTAATCCCAGTCTCTCACTGAACGTGCTCCTGTGACTAGCCAGCATGTCATGTCATGGAGTGGGTGGGAGGTATTATCTAACATTGTCTTTATCTTGGACAACATCTGCCTCTCATACACCATCCTAACGGAGTCCAGCTCCATCCCCACAACATAACTGGCCTTGTGGATCAGTTCATATAGTCTGTTGGCATCTGTGACCCTCAGCCTGCTGCCCCAGCATGTAAAGGCATAGAGGATAGCACTGACCACAACAGAGATACAACAAGATAACATCAATTAGTAGGGATAGTGAAGTGTCACTTGGCTATGATAGTAAACAGTAGACACTGATGTAGCTTACTGAATCTTTTGGACTGTGTTCAGCACAATATTAATTAGTCATTGTCAATTGTTGATTTGTCCTATTCTCATTGTATGATATATGTGTGTGTCTGTGTGTATGTTTCTCTGGTGAAATTCAGTATGGTTCCGACAACAGTTTTATGTTAATGGACAATCCTTAATATGTTATATCCTTAACGCACCCACGTTGGTAGGCTGTGGTTGCAGTATTTGCCGTAGCAGCATCCCAAACATGAAAGGCAGCTGAGGATTGTGGCAGTGGGCATGAAGATACCACTCACCAGTCCATGGACGCTTTCATCAACAGCATTGTAAAAGTGGACTACAGCGCTGCCGTACTGATACTGCGCTACCCCTACATAGTCCAGAAAGTAGAAGCAATAATGAGCAAGGTCAGACTTTCCTCCCAGTACGTGAGCTACAACACTGAATGCAGAGTAGGTAGGTAAAGAGGAGAGGAAGAGGACAGGATGAAGATGCGCAGGGGCCACGAATGATGGTCACTGATAAAGTCCACAGTCTCAGTAAGCTGGCACAATTTAATCAGCAACACTAAAAATGCCACCAGGTGAGTCCAGATGTTTAGGGTTCCATTGTGGCGCTGAAACAAGGACAGGAAGTAGTAGCACCAGTTTTGGTTGAGCGGGGGGGGGGGCAGAGGGAGTGTTCGCCCAGGGCGCCAAACAGGCTAGGACCGCCACTGCACCCTGGGTTAACACATCTGAATCAAATGATTTATGCTGGCATTAGGTATTTTCTGTTCTGCAGTTTGCCCTCTAGTGTTTTTTTTGTGTTGCCATCCATGCCTTCACAAGTTGATAAATGGCATAATCTGTAAGTAAAATTGTTTGTTATCACTGAGACGACTTGTGTGCATTATTATTTGTTGTGAAAGCGTAATATAGTTTGTAGTTTGAATTTAATTTGAATGCGTGTATAACCTAAGCTAGTAAGGTTAAGCTAGCACATATGCCATGTGGTTTCTTTAACATTTTGATCATGAGCGTGATTTCATTTGATGTTTCATTCAGGCACTCACTAAGCAGATAAATATTGTGCTCATATTTTTGAATATGTGACTTACTGTGGTGTGTGTGTTATATTGTATATTGATGCAATATTTTTATTGGTTTATTTCTGGTTTTGTCAACAGTTTCACACTTTTTCCTTATTAAATCATCCCACTTAACACATCGGCCTGTTCCTTGGATTTTAATTAGGAGAGTGTTTAGCTGTCTGTATAGCTGAGTCTATGTTCATGAGGAAAACACTTAGTGAGGACAGATCATGATTAGTTCATTACCAGGCCTCTGGAGAACTTCAAGACATGGTGAGGAGGTAATTTAGCCTTTTAAATCAGCTGTGTTGGATCAAGGACCCATCTAAACCCTGCAGGACACCTGCCCTTGAGGACTGGACTTCGACACCTGTGCTCTACAGTTATCCTGCGTGAGTCAGATGCACTGTTTGTGTATTGACAGTGCATCAATATCAATGGCACGCTTCACAGATGCGAGAGCCAGGAGAAATGTAGTCTTCAAAGACAGAATTTTCACATGGCTTTGTGCCTCAAATGGTGAAAATGCCCCCAGCACCAGGGATAAATACCATGTGGGGACGAGAGGTTTAGACACCGGATAGAGTCGTCATGCCCCTTTCATAAAATGGTGGACCTACGGGTGATGGCTCACTGGGCCATCCACGAAGCCCACATGACAGGCTGAAATGTTTGTTAGATATACTTTAATTGTGGAAAAGACCTTTCCTTTATCTAACAGTTCCTAGAGAAAGGAGAGAATTGTTGTCACAGAGCATTGAAAGGAGAGATCGTGAGACTTTCCACACCACTCCTCAAATACCCTCCACTTGTTCTCATACAATGATCTTGTGGAGGAGGCTCTAGCACTCTGAATAGTGGTTATAACACCCTGGGGGAGTCTAAAATTTAACCTCTCACGGGCCAAGCCCACAGGGCGAGGCACTGGGGGTGAGAGTGAAAAATCTCCTCCCTGGCTTGGGAGACTAGGTCTCGTCTGATAGGGAGAGGCCAAAGTTCGCTCCACAAAAGGGGCATAATCTCCGCTAACCAATGGGACCTCATCCACCTTGGGGCAATCAATATCATTGTTAGCCCTCTCTCTCTCGCTCTGGTTAGAGTGGGAGAAATTAAAGCCAGTGGAGGGAACGCATAAAGCAGAGCATGTGGCCATTCGCGAGCTAATGCATTTAGCCCTAGCGGAGCCTCCTAGTCCCTCAGGGAGAAATATGGAGGACACTGAGCGTTCTTCCTCAAGGCAAACAGGTCAACCTGTGGCTGGCCAAAGCTGGTCCAGATTTGGGTCACCACCCCTGGGTGCAGGGTCCAGTCCCCGTACTGCAGGTTCCCCCTGGACATTAAATCTGCTTCCAAGTTCAGAGCTCCTGGAATGTGAGTAGCTCTCAGTGACAACAGATTGATGCTGCTCCACATGAACAGTTTGCGAGCCAGCATGTGAAAAGGACCTGTCTGTTGATGTACGCCACAACAGTGGTGTTGTCTGTGCTGATCAGAACGTGGTGGTTTCTTAACAGGGGAACAAAGTGTCTCAGTGCTAGAAATGCTGCTAGCAATTCTAGCCAGTTTATGTGAACACCCCTGTGTCATGAGTCCCAGTTGCTGCTCACTGCTCTGCCCTTGTGAGTGGCACCCCCGCCTGTGAGACTCACGTCCGTGGTCACCACCTTCCTGGCTGTGACAGCCCTCAGTGACACCCCCTGAGTGAGAAATGTGGGGTTTCTCCAACAGTGGAGTGCCGCAGTGCAGTCTGCTGTCAATGCTGTCACTTTGATATGGGGGTGGTGGCGGTTTCGACTGAGTCTTAGTAATGCAACCCATCGCTTAAACTCCCTCATATGCAGTCTGCCTAGTGGGATGATTGCCAGTGAAGACGCCATTAATCTCAGCATCTGCAGGCATCTTCTGAATGGGAGATATCTTCCCACCTGAAAAATGCAGGCATGTGATAGCATTTTTTTTACTCTGTCCACAGAGAGACACGCTCTGTACGAGGTGGAGTTTAGAGCTGTTCCTATGAAAGAGATGGCCTGAGCTTGCTGCAGGACACTCTTTTCTTTCTCTGTTCGAAAGCCCCGACAAGTTCAGCCATCTTGCCCTCTCCTGCAGGATGAGGATGCTGAAAGCTCTGCCCGCCACTTGTACTGCTGCTGTAGTGAGGTGGAGACAGTGGTCCGTGACAGCGCCCAGCTCTTGCCACAGCTTGGTAGCATCGTTGTCCAATTTTATGAAAAATTGTATTAGTTTTATGCCAAATGTAATGGGACACACAGCTTCCAATCAGTTCAGCTTTTGTCTTGTCAGTCAAGAGAATATTTTCCCAAAAATCTTAGGAATTATTAACATTTTTTTCTTTTGGCAAATGTGAGATGAGCCTTTGTGTTCTTTTTGGTCAGTAGTGGTTTTCTCCTTAGAACTCTCCCCCATTAAAGACATTTTTGCCCAGTCTCTTTCTAATTTTTGAATCATAAACACTAATGAAAACTGAAACAAGTGAAGCCTGCAGTTCTTTAGATGTTGTTTTGAGGTCTTTTGTGACCTCCTGGATGAGTTGTTGATGCACTTTTGGAGTAAATTTGGTAGGCCAACAATTACTGGGAAGGGTCACCATTGTTCCAAGTTTTCTTAAAATTGTGGATGGTTTGCTGGAGTCCCAAAGCCTTGAAAAATGGCTTTGTAACCATTTCCAGTCCGACAGATAACTGATTTTGTTTCTTATATTCTTGAGGGTTTTTCTTTTTTAGGTTTTGGCATGATGTGTTGCTTGCTGAACTCTTTTAGCTTACTTCACTTTTGTCAGTGTTTAGAGTTTAAATTAAAAACAAACAAAAACATCTTAACAACTAGAGCTCTTTTTTGATGTGAGGCTGTTTATTAGGTTCTATTTTTTCTGTATTATTAAAAGAAATAATACAGAAAAAATAGAACCTAATAAACAGCCAGATAAAAAATGTTTTGGAAATTTATGTTTTCTGAAAAAAACTCTTATTGTCATTCAATGAATACCTTGGTATTTTCCCAGTTCTTCAGTCCAAATGCTCTCAGTCCCATAGCTTCTCTCATCATGGATAAATACCACTTCTGTAGCTCGAGCATCATCTGCATTTTGAATCAGCTCCTGATTGACAAATAAAAACAACTATTAACAGAAAATAACCAATGCAAGCTAGTACTTATATAATTATATAAAGCTGACACACTTTTTCTCAGCTATTTTGACTTATTGTAGCAGGAAAGGTGATGTGAATGATGGCTTTGTTCCAAGAAGTGCCCCATCTCTCCTGTGAACCAGCATACCAAACACTGAAAGTGGCTCATCTAAATGGGATCTAGCCCTGTTTTAATTAGCCATTTAGGTTTCCTGCTTTAACATAAAACTATCAACAGTGAGAAGATCAGTTTCAGTTTCCACTGTTAACATTCCTGTTGTGTCCTACACATTAACTTCACATTATTTGTTAATCCATTGCAATCCAATCCAACTTTATTTATAAAGCACTTTAAAATACCCAGTACAGGACCAAAGTGCTGTACAGTAAATAAGTTAAGAACAATAGAATAAAATAAAACAGCAAAAAATAAAACACATAATACAAAAAAAAATTCAATTAAAACAGCATAGAATCAACTAACACAACTAAAATAAAAATAAACTAAAACCAACATCTCACAATTGTCAAAGTCCAGGGTGAAGAGATGGATTTTCAGAAGTGATTTAAAAACAGGCAAAGAAGAGGCCTGTCTAATCTCTAAAGAGAGATCGTTCCACAGTTTGGGAGCTATTACAGCAAAAGCGCGATCTCCTCTAAGTTTACGCTCAGTTCAGGGTACATTCAGGAACTGTGGATCAGCTGACCTGAGAGAACGGGTGGGTGTATAAGCTGAGAAAGATAAGATGGGGCTAGGCCATGGAGGGCTTTAAAAGCAAATAAAAGAATTTTAAAATGATTCCTAAAAGAAATGGGCAGCCAGTGAAGTGAAGCTAAAATAGGGGAAATGTGCTCAAACTTTCGAGTGCCAGTTATTGGAACACCTTGTGTCTTCCTTTTATATTTTATTTTCCCTTGCTGTAAGAGCTCTGTAACACCGAAGTTTCTCATCCGTGGGCTAATAAAGGTTTATTCTATCCTATTTGACTGTCAGGTCTCAGTGGAGCTACCAAATACCATCACCTCAGCCTTTTTGTCATTGAATTTTAAAAAGTTAAGAGACATCCAAGCCTGAATGTCATCAAGAACCTGAAGAATGGCTGTATGGAATATGTGCCTTTTTTCTTTAGAGGGACATAGATCTGACAGTTGTCAGCATAAAAGTGGAGCAGATACAAAGTGTGTGTGTGTGGGGGGGTAGACCTGAGCCCTGTGGGACACCACACAAGAGAGGAGCGGAGGACGACACATGGTCGCAGAGACTGACACAATAGGTTTGCCCCGCCAAGTAACACCTGAACCACTTCAGTGCTGTGCTCCTAATGTTCACCCACTGCTCCAAATGAAAGAGTAAAATGGCATGATCCACTGTATCAAACACAGCTGTCAAATCTAAAAGCAAGAACAACCCAGCGTCAGTAGCTAAAAATATGTCATTAAAAACTTTTCAAAGGGCTGATTCAGTGCTATGTAAGGGTTTAAAACCACTTAAAAAACCTCTAAAACATTTTTTTTTCCAGGAATGTCATTAATTGGCTGTGAGCTATCTTTTCAAGAATTTTGGAAAGAAAAGGTAGTTTGGACATAGGCCTGTAATTTTCAAGAATTGTAGGATCAAAAGTAGGTTTTTTAATCAGGGTATGACTACGGCATGTTTAAAATCTTTTGGGACTACACCTGATTTCAAACTGTGGTTTACCAGGTCAAGAACCAAAGGTCCAACTGTTGGTAAATCTCTTTAAGAGTCGAGGAGGGACAGCATCATTTGGAGACCCTGCAGGCTTAAAACGACCAACAGTCTCCTTTAAAGCAGACAGAGTCACCGGCTCAAACCTGTCAAAGACAGAAGTGCAGGAAGCAGAGACTGAGGGGTCATGAGCAAAAGGAGAGATTTGAGCCCCGGTGGAGGAGATCTCAATAAAAAAGCGTAAAAATTTTTCACAGGCTGCAGACGAGGGCTGATAGTATGTGGCGCACTAAGAACAGAGATAATGGTTTTAAATAAAACACGTGGGTTGTGAGAGTTTGACAGAATAATGCCAGATAAGTGGGTGTTTTTTGGCATCTTTTACAGTTTTTTGATATTGACGCCAACAGTGCTTTAGCATCTGGAATGACACTTGTAGTGGTCATGTCGTTCAGCCAGGGCTCAGATTTAACTTTAGGCTGCCTGGTTTTTAATGGAGCCACAGTGTCCAAAGCATTCCGGCAGGTGGAATAAAACCATGAGCTCCTCAGTCTGGCTGCATAAAAGCTCCAGGATTTTACAGTTCTGGTTAAAAACTGTTGAAAACTGCTCAGCAGTGGAGGAGTTAAAAACGCGACACCGCCGAGCAACAGTGCAAGGTTTAACTGAGGCACAGGCAAGAGAAACTTCACATCAAACATCACAGGACTATGGTCAGAAAACACAGCATCACAAATCTTTACGTTAAAAACAGAAAAGTCATGAGATAAAACAAGATCAAGTGTGTGTTGTAGGAATTTGCAGTGCCTCAATAATGCTATGCTTTTTATTAATGAAGTTATATAGTGTAGTATTAAGTGGACACAGCTCTGAAAAATAAAGGCATTAGATCATGTGTCCTTGGGGAGTAGAAAGCTGTAGACTCTCGCTCACGCTTGCCTGGGAAAAAGTAGATAAGAGGGGACCATCTGTAGTGGAAAGTTACTGAGACACTGTTGTTTAGACTAGAATGAGAGCTTCTGTAATAAAACTGTTAGGGGCACACCACCATTTTGAGTTGCACGGCAACGTGTCATGCAGGATGCATCTCCCTTCTAGAAGTTTTGTGAAAGAGAAAAAAAGTGTTGAATGGTCTACTGAGCAGTGTTTTGTCCTCCATCGGATGCCTCTGAGGAATCAAAAGAACTCCGTGAAGTGCTGATATTTAACAGTGTCCACGTTCATGTGTGCGACCGGTCACACATTGCACCAGATTAAAAGAATCAATAAGGTTTAAAAAGCCCTTTGCCATGGGCATATCAGGACAAAACACATGAATATTAAAATCCCCAACAATAAGAACACGATCATATTGTATGTATGTATTCAGCCAAGAAGTCAGCAAAGTCATTCACTAAGTCCTTGTTGTATTTTGGAGGCTGATAAACACTGTTGTTGTGTTGTGTGCAGCCAGTTCAAAGCTGGTGAATTACAGTGTTGATAGCTGCTTACATTTAAAATGACTTTAAAAAATAGTAGCTATTCCTCCTCCTCGGCCCAACATCTGTGGGGAATTAAAATAGCAGCAGGTCAGGGCCAAGGGCTGGTTTCCTACAGATTTCTAAAGGACTGGAAATCTTTTTGCAACCCCATGAAGTACTTAATGAAGTAATTTATATAATGAGTTTTTGGCAGAGCATTACACCAACCTTCAAAATTTGTCCACCATCTGGATATCGACGTAGAATATCTTTCAGGTAGTCAATGAAGGGCGGGGCTGTGGCCCCGAAAGAAGTCCTGAACAAAGCAGCAGCAACAGTAACAAATTAAGCGACAAACTAAGTCATTAAGTAAGAAATGAAAGAAACTCAAAAAAAAAAACTCAAAACAAAGTGAATCCTTATGATACAATGATAATAGGAAAGAGCTAATGTTAGACAAGATTGTGTATTTGACTATTTGAAGCTGTAAGTTTTATTAAATTTAAAAGGGACACTTACTTGATGTAAATTGGAAGAACATGGCACTATGAATATGAATGAATATGAATTTTATATCTTATACTATTAGTTAGTATAAAATTTAGGGATCTGGTGACAAATGATTGAACTCATTCAATGAGACAACTAAAGATGTGCACTCAAAGACTATCATAACAAATCCTAAATCTCTGTGCTTATAATTTCCTTTTATCAATTTTTTTCTGACACTTTTACATCACCAAACAATTGTGTCAAAGTCATGGTAGTGCAGCCACACCGAGTTCACACTAAGTGGTGATAAAACATTTGGAATGTTGCAAAAGCATTAAGCCCTATTTTTTTAAACAATGAAAACTAGTCAGTTGTCAGTAAGGGATTTAATACATAATTTGAAGCAAGCAAACTCAAAAATGGTATTAGTGCCAAAATCATTTTAATATCAATCAGTATTTTCTACAGTACTTCCTACAGAAGAACTGTACTTCCTACAGAAGTCCAGAACAGCATATTCTATTGTTCTGTATACAGTAGGAAGTACTGTATACAGAACATTAAAGTAAAAACAAATCAGCTCACCGAGCTTTCTTCTTTGCTTTTACACTCATCATTCCAGAGTCGTTTTCTGTAAGAAATTCAGGGTATTGTGACACATTATACAAACTATATTTGCTCATAATAAACTAAAACTGAAAACGGTTGCTGACATTAACTGTCATTTAGCATAAAACAAGCAAAACCCTTTAAACAGATGACTGTTTCTATGAAATGCAAAGAAAAACACAAAGCCCAAGAAACTTAACTGAACCTGAAGGGAAAACACGGATCCTATCACCTGTACAGATAAGGGAGTGTTGAGTGTATCATAAATTACCTGGTTTCTGCTAACAAACAATAAAAAATAGGTCCACATTTAAGCATATTTGTATTTATATGGAAATAGCTCAAAAAATCACCTCATTTCCTTTCCTAGGAACCAGTTTTTCTACTGTATGGGATGGATTCAAGCAAACATATCTGCACTATCCCTGATTAACAGCCAACTTTCTGAAGCACACAAAAACAATAAAATATCAACCACCATTTACACATTACTAAACCAACCCATTCGTGGTTAAATATTAGCCAGCATCTGACTAGAACAATTAAATATATGACTCATTATGTTAAAGAACAAGGCAAGGAACAAGGAAAAAGGTTTTTTTTATCCACACAGTGTCATGAAAGCCACACATTCAAGAGTCACCTATATGGTGATGACATATATCGTTTTAGGATTACACAGAGTAAGTAACTGCAATACTTTACTGATGTCATTAAAATATTATTACTAATACTAGTAAAAATATAAAACAAAACAAAACTAATACACAAGTACATCTACTCCTCATTTAATCCTTTTTCCATTAGCACCTATTTGGGTGGCTGTGGCTCAGGTGGTAGAGCAGCTACTGATTAGAAGGTTGGTGGTTCGATCCTTAGCTTCCCCAGTCTACATGCTAAATATCCTTGGGCAAGATACTAACCCCAAGTTGCCCTCCGATGCGTTCATTGGCTTGTGAATGGAGATTAGTTTGCACTTGTGTTTAGAAGTGCTTGTGTGAATGTTTTCCTTTTCAGTGCCTTTCCCTTGATTTGAATTGTCATAACTGCGTGGACTGAATATAAATTAGCTGTCTCACCTGAGGCAGCTAATTTATAGGCAACTACAGTTTACTCTTACACAGAGTAGGTAACTGCAATACTTTACTGATGACATTAAGAGATTAAAATCATATTACCTCGGTCATCGCAGTGAAAGGTAGAGATGTTCCAAATAAATAGCGATACTGTATCCGTCAGCTTTATATAAAGGCTGCTGGTGGCCAGTGTCGCCCGTCGGTTCTAGTCAAGTTTCGTTTAGAAACGAAACTTAAAAGAAAGAAGAAGAAAAAAAGCGTCCATTTACACGTTGGCTCTCAGGTGTGTAAGGTTAACTCACTACTTCCCATTGAGGACAGTTGTCCCGTCGCTCGCTAGATGATGCTGCAGCCCGTTTGCATCGCCTTCTTGAAGGAAAACGATTAAATGTTACTGTTATTTAGCTCTGGTTAATAGATTGTTTTTACCGCATTCGCACGAAAAGTACTTGTATTCAAGCACATTTCTTAGGAAGGGTATGGGAAAATCGTTGTTTGTATGCTGCTTACGTCCTCCGCATTGTTTAAAACGAAGCACGGCTTACTATAGTTGATAGGCTAGTGTACGCATCTTCCCACAGACAAACACTAGCTCATAACACAACTGACACGACAAGTGTGGTAAAGCGTAAATACTATGGGATGCATACAACATGCTGATTTAAAAAGGGGTTTCTATTCCCAGCAAACATGCCTGTGCAGCAGGGGCGGATCTAGAGAAATTTTCTTAGGGTGGCAAGAGGGTGGCAAAGAAATCAAATGGGGTGGCAAAATCAAGGCTTTTTTTTTTCAAACACATATGCATGTGGTTACATATGGTTAAAATGATTCAAATCCAGTAAGTATACATGTTTTTCATATAAATATAGTCTATAACTTAATTATTGTCTGTAGCCCACATAATTACATACTTTAGTTACATAAAACATGTGAGTTTTGATGTTATGTACTGTATAGCCTGTATAATAAATAAATATGTAGCCCAATAAGTATAAAATCCAGAAAGCTACACAACATGGGGCGGTTCATTTACAAACACACGTCTAACTTAAGTTTTACACTGTTTTTTGTTATAAAACAATCAAATTGTTACATGCTTAAATTACACAAAATGTCAGAAATCTGCACTGTCATGAACAAAAATTTTAACCTAATTTTTCATGATTTGTTGGATTAACCCACTGAGGTCTGAAATACAACCGGCTATTTTTGACTAATTTTGAGTTTACGTTTGTAGTTCACCCTCAAATTGTTTCATTTTATTTTTCCCCCTTGCTTTGTATGGTATCATTATTTTCAGCTTAACTGAATTTAGTTGTTTTTTTTTCACTGACATACTGCATTAGTACTACTATTACTATTAATAGTACTATTACTGATCTGAAATCACACAAAGAACTTTAAACCCTAGTAGTATTTTTTACTGTAAAAAAACCCCCAGACATGTTGAGTAATTTTTTATAACTTGAAATGTAAATATAAATTGTACATTTTGTAAACATATACAACTATTTATCTAAAAATGCAGCCAATACACCTGCCTTTTTTTCATTTTGTACAACCATTTAAAAATATTACTAAAACTAAAATGAGAGAACAATCAGGTTTCGCAATAAGATGCCCCACAAATGATGTGTGCCAGTAAAAAAAAAAAGTTTGCCCACCAAAAGACAGAAGAGAACAGCACAGGGACAAACCTGCAGGCCTGACAACAGGAGGTGTATCACTCCGCTGGTTTTCTACTTAGTGACAGTGTTTACGTTGCAAATGTGCCTTTGTGACATTCATTAGTGCCCTCACTGACACACAAAACGACTACACAACAGAACAGCTACACAACACAACACAACACAACACACTAAGTATACACTCCACACTAAATGTCACAAATCTCCCACATCTAAAAACTCTCTCGCTCTCTCTTTCCCTCTCTCTCACTCGCTCGCTCTGTCTCGCTGCCAAAAAGTTTTGGGAGTGACGGTCACTCCCAAAACTTTTCCCTCTTCCTAAACAACAAAATCCCACATATTGACTTTTTTAAAAATTGGTCGACATGGTGCATTTTTCCACCGATAGGAAAGAGGTGGCTTTTTTTCCTTTCTTTACTGTTTTCGCGCTTTCCTTAGAAAACGCTTAAAACACACACACACACAAAAACGTGACGACAGTATTTAGTAAAAAGCGTGGCTTATATATATTACCACAACTCTGGATTTACTGGCCTGTAATTAAAATTTAAAAACTTTGAAGTCCGAACTTTCAATGTGGGCTGAAATAGAGACTCAGCGTGGCTGCAGCTTATGTCAGCTTAGATCAGTCATGTGATTTGGAGGTGCAAGCGTGTCCATGGACCACAGAGGGTTAACAACACTCACCTTCCTTCCATTTCCAGAGTGTAACATCCAACCACCTGTGTAAAATCCGAAATTCCCATGGTGTTGTTCAAAATGTGCTCTGGCACAATCATAAGCATGCTTGCTACTGAAAACAAGAAAAAAGCCGATCCCTGCTATGGGCTGAACCATTTGTTAATGGTGCAGGGGGGGAACACTATCCAATATCTTCAGTTTTAGCATTTATATTCACTGTTGACTGTAACTACGCTCAAACTGTTAATGCTATCTTATTTTAATAAACAACACTGTCATATGCAAAACTGGGGTGGCACTTGGGGTGGCAAGGGATCATTTTAGGGTGGCACTTGCCACCCCATGCCACCCTTCTAGATCCGCCCCTGCTGTGCAGGCCCGCAGTGGAAAGCTTTGACCCTTTTGATATAAAATGGCATCGCTTCATTTTACTCAGTTGTATCAATTTGTGTATACAGAGTAGTTTAATTAGTCTCGAGTTAAAACCAGAGCACTATAAAAGTCGGACAGAACAACCGTGACATCACTTATTGAAGTCGTTATGAGAACCACATGTATGATGGGGTCCTACATTTCAAACAGATGCCGAGGCCTACAGTGGGCTGTCCACTATGAGCTGTGTGGATCTGCCCGCAGTGCTCCCACATGGGGGCCAAGGGGTCATGTTTGCTGGGTAAATAGAAAACAATATAATATTCACATAAAACCATTTTCCAAATTGTTTACAACCTCCATTTATATGTACACACTCCCAAATACCACTCAATACCAGTAAATACGAAAAAATAAATGTAAATAGTAAAACCAAACACCCTTAAGAATCAGTTTACATACATACATGTGAATACCATACTGTAAACTGCAGTTGCAAACACGTACATAAAAGTTGTACTAGATCTGACTTTCTATTAGTTACTTTTTGCTCTAACCCAAAACATGTTGGAAAAAAGTTTTTTTTTAATATAATCAGAGATTAGAGAACTCAGACACCTATTTAAAACCAGATATATTATATGCAGCAAATCAGCTTTCCACTGTAAAAAGTCAAGCAAAACTCAAACTG